GGTTATCAAACACAGAAACTATAACTTTTTTAACTTTTCAAGAGGTTATCAAACACAGAAACCATGAACTTCTTTAACTTCTCAGGAGGTTATCAAATACAGAAACCAGGAACTTCTTACAGTAACTTCTATCTTCCCAGCAAGGAGGAACTTCAAATTTACAGTTTATGAACTTGATTCTAGTTATCAAACAGACCCTTTAAATAACATCCATGCTATGAGGCGCATGCATCTCCTGATTCATAGTATACTATATTTGGAATTGATAACATTAGTTTTCATTTTTTATTTATCTTTTTTTAACAGTTAGTAGGGATTGGGTCCTCTACCCATAGCAGAAATGAAAGTCAAGTTTCGAAAATTATTTCAACCAAGCTGTCAAATCAAAAAGTAAAACATATCTCTAGCTCCCAATTCTTTAATCCTTTTCTTCCATTTAAAATATCTAACAATAACTCGTGCTTTCTCTTCATTCTTTATTTGATAGATTGGTCTAAAAGAATTGCTAAAATTTGTATTAAAAATAGGGTGCATTCTGTTTGGTTGAGTGATGTTATGGACCACGCATGCAATATAGTGTGCCTCAAGCACAAAAACCGCCTCAACATAGCAACTGGTCCATTCAACACGTCACGTGAAACCTTTATTCCACCGCTCAACAATTTCTTAAGAAAAGTAGTTGACATAAAGAAGATATTCATGCTCACATAACTCCAAGTCTCCGGATAAAGCCGTATGTAGAGTTTGCGAATCCTAGTGGGCAAATATCCAACTACTCCAAGATATGTTTTCAATGAAAAATTTAAAATTAAAAGGAATGAAAACCCTCAACCATGGTGATCATCATCATAGCTTTTTACCAATTATTTGGGATCGGTTATACGAATCATGATCCATGAGTCTGTTCTATTAAGTGTCATTCCCTCAATGAAACCATAAATCTCCGTATCTTTTTGAACTACTTCCAACCACGTTCTTTTGAGCCTACCTTCAACCATGGCAATAACATGAAAAATGACCACTTCATATAAGGGGTACAACCCGACATCATAAGCATTTGTTTTTTATTGGGGAACTTGTTTTTTTTGGATAAGTAGGTGTTACATTTGCACTATTGCATGCTCCAATGAAGAGCATATTGCAAACTTAGTCCCTAAGTTAATGATTGAATTATGAGAGTTTTTTTTCTCTGAATTTTTTAGATGCTCTTAAAAATCACTAAATGATTATTTTCAAAAACAAAACTTGAATGTCGGTCTCTTAAACAGTTAGATTTGAGAGGCTAAAAATTGGATAGTGTCACACATAATGCATTTTAATAATGGAAAAGTTTATATAGAGCCTACCTAAAAACTTTCACTAGAAGAGGTTGTTTTGATGCACAAATATCTTCAAATTGATCATCTTGATATCAAGATGCATGGACATAAAAAAAAAAATAGATTTCAAGTTTTGAAAATAGTGTATTTTATAATACATTTTTGGATTGTCAATTTTCAAGATTTTCAAGTTTTCATATATCTGTCAATCTACCCTATTTTTTAAGCTTTAAACTTTATAAATAAATATGAAAATATATTTTAAAGCTATCGCAAAGATTTTCAGTATTGAAACCATATTTCTCGACACTATTTGAAGGTAGGCTTTAATTTGATTGTTTAGAGCCTTGCTTTGATTGTTTAGAGCCAAGGCTCTATACAAACCAATGCAACCGGGAAACATTCTCTCAAAAGCTCTGACATCTGAAGCTAGTAGAGAATGGCAGTACTCTGCCTTGAGGATTGTATATTCCTTAAAAATTAAGGGTTAAAATTTATTTCAAAAAATAGTTTAATACTTGAAAATCTTGAAACAGAACCGTCCAGATAACATAACTTGCAAATCTGATTACGATGTTTTATATTCTTTTGGTGAGAAAACATTATTTGAAGTCATGCTCATAGTTTATAATTTGGAATATTCATATTTGAACTTTAGTTTCAAAAAGTAGTTGTCTTTTTTTAATATTTCCAGTACTTGTCATTGTAATGCTATTTTAAAAAGAACATGTTTATTGTTTTTGGTACTTTCCACGAGAGCCAACATAGCACTTCCATCGACCGATTGAAAGGAACGATCTATACAAACATGGATGAGGTTTTTGTAGGGCTGCGGGTGGAACGGCCACATAAAGTGGGGGCCGCGGAAAATACATTCGTATGAGCCTTGTGTCAAACTACGAGATACGGTCTCTATGAGTCTTTGGACTCACATGTAGAACTGAAAATTTCATAATTGATGGCAACAATATATTTTCATAATTAGGGGCATCAATAGATTTTCATATCATTAAAAGGTTTTGTGACACTGAAACTGCATTTTTTACATAGTTTTGAGGTGCACCTTATTTCAATAGTATAAGATTAACACCTTATACAAACCTAACCTTTTTCTGAATGTGTGAATGGGTTGTTTGGCTCCATGATTAAACAAACCCAGAATCATAACTTAATTACACCAAACCCTGGTTACACTAAAACCCGGTAATTGAACAAGTGTGTTTGGATAGCTTTCGAATGAAACCCAAGTTATATAAATGTCATGTTTTTTTTTGGGGGGTAATTCAATGGGAAAGCCAGGCCTATACCCATTTTTTCATATAAATTAAGGAGTTTGTTTTTTTGAAGGTATCAGAAGGTGGCGTCAGCAGGACTTGAAACTACAACTTGATAACTATGGGGTGCCATTGGGTTATCTGTTTGTATATCCTTGGTTTGCAGATTTACTATTTAATTGATTTATTAAATATATTATTCTAAATTATTCTAAAATCAATAATACTAGTAAGATTAGTATGATATTAAATTAATGAAGAAGGCGGTACTAGGAATTTGGACCAAAGTTGTGATGGCTTTCATCGAAAGTTTGAAAAAGGAAAAAGTAAAGGGAAACTTACATACATATCCATTATAGTTTATGTTATTATGGTTCTACCGAATAGTTTCGATTATTACTATCATATCCATTTTTTTCATGTCAAAACAAAAAAAAATTTTAAAAAAATGAATTTACCCAATTTTCTTTATCTTGTGGGTCTGTGTATCCTCTCTCTACCTCTCCCTCTACATTACATAGGTAAAAATGGTTTTTTTAAAAAACAAACTCTCTATCTCCCCTTCACCGAGCATCTTTTTTTGGTAAGTTCATAATCCCTGAGAATTTTCTAAATTTAGGGGCTCAAACTAGCTGTTCTCCCCTGATTTTATCACATACTATGACTTCAAAGAGGTAGAGAAAATACGACAAAAGAGAGAGAAAACATTTTTCGGTTCTTGAAGAACCGAAAATTTAAATTTTTTGGTTCTTCAACCACCAAAAATTTTAAATTTTATGATCTTCAATAACCAAAATTTGTGTATTTTCGGTTGTTAAACAACCGAATTCAAAGTAAAGTCATATTTTTTTAAAATTTCGGTTTTGACATGAAAAAGGACACGGTGGTAATAATCGAAACTATTCGGTAGAGCCGTAATCAAGAAAACTATAACAGATATGTATGTAATTTTTTCAAAATTAAAAGAAAAAATTCCAATGCCTCAAATAAGAGAGAATAAAAGTGTTACGACCATGTAATAGATAATTTCAAGAATATTTTTTTTTTTTTGGTAAGTATTTCAAGATAAATTTTTGCATTTTACTATGTTTATTTTATGTAATATTGTTTAAGCCAATAAAAATATTCTCAAACTGAACATTTAGGAGAACAACTACGTATGCAAATAAATTTAGGCCCCTAGCTCTTATCACCCACATCAAACCGTTGCTATTTTTAGTTAAAACTTAAAAGTCCGATGCAAGTTGTTTTGGTTTTATAATACTAGCTAATAACACATTTATTGGACAATTTGCTCAAGTTGAGGAACTGAGAGAGAACTCAATAATTTTTAAAAAGTTAAGTACCATTTCTTTAGCTCCTATTTCTTCTCTCTTATATACTTCACCAAAAAATTTATTTGGATAACAACCTAGATTGCGCGTCCGGATTTCCATTCTGGTTCTGTGGAACCAAGTGGGGCCGGTTCCATCAAAGAACTGGTTAGAACCAGCCGTGTCATGGGAAAACAGGCCGGTTTCCGATATTTCACGCGATGTGTTCGTCCCCAGCAATTCTCAATCCAAATCGGCCTATTTCTATCCTGGTCGGCATTTTTTAAAACTTTGAAAGAGAGATTTTTAAGGGGAGATAAACCTTAGATCTTGGATGAGAGGGTAGGTTTTAAGGGGAAATTGACCTGTCATTTGTTTAAATAACAAATAGGGAGACTTTTAAGCGCAAATACCACCTAAACTAGATTAGGAGATCAAGGTAAATCCCAACAGAAGGAATGCGTCGTAATTAAGCATTCGAGATGACTCTCTTCAAAAATTTGAGTCACAGAAACTATATTTTGTTTTCAAAATTCTCTAGACTCATGCTTAGTGTGAATTGTGAAAGCACAGAATCCCTCAAGCCCCATTCGTGCTTCTTCTTTCCTCTCAAATTCTTATACAGTATCATATCATATAAAAATGGGTAAGGTACACCTCAAAACTACGCCGAAAATGCAGTTTTGGTGCCTCAAAGCCCTGTGAGAATATGAAAATCTATTGTTGTCCCCAATTATAATATTTAAAATTTCTAAATATGGTGACGATCAACAAATCTATAAACACTTGAAATGGACAGTACAGATAATGTGTTAGAAGATTAACTATTTTTAAGACTAAAAATCCCATTTCTTTTCATGTCTATCAATCTCGAGGTCAAGATGACTGCATAAGAACAACCTTCTCTAGTATGATTTTTAAGTGCATCTTACTCGTACAATATAAAGGTTTACGCCTTATATAAACTTTTTCCTATAAAACTATGCTTACTTTTTTTAAGAATGCGTTTTAAACCTTTGGTGAACTTTCATATAAAGATGCAGCAGGCAAGCATTAGAGCCTTTCAAGTTAGTTTCCTGTGCCGCCAGGTTATTAACAAAGGTGAAAGAAATGAGAACCCATTCATTGGATTATAGCACAGAGCTTTATCCAAACCCAGATGGAGACAGAGTGATCCCCATTGGTGAGCAGTCATGGCGACTCAATGTGAACGACTTCAGGCTACCTCAGAGGACACCTGCTCATCCTAATGCTCTACCTTCTTGCCTCAAAAGCTTGAGTAACTCTTCATCCTTCTCCACATGAATATTCTTTTCTGTTTTATAGTTTTTTGATAAAGAAGAAAAGAGGAAAGAATAGGCATTGCTGGTTTAATTCTTATACTTGGAAGATCTTGGGATTTAGACCATGATATTCCACTACGTTGGAGAAGGAAAATTCTCAATTTTTTTGGCCAAAGTTTCTCATATGAGCAATTTCTGGATAGAAAGGTTCTGAACTCCAAAAGCTAACCTTTGTTTTAGTTGATTTTGTAATTTATTGTCTCGGTTATTTTGAGTTAGTGTAACTGGTCGTGCTTCCAATGGTGACATTTCAAATGTGTAATATCTGATTTTCTTGATTATGTTGGTCTCAGGCAAACGCCACAAGGTTGCAGAGTATTATAAGAAGCAAGAGGAGCTTCTTGAGGGGTTCAATGAAATGGAGACAGTCACAGAATTAGGCTGTCTCCCCGGATTAACAGAGGTAATTGTGACTTAGAGAGAGAGAGATCTAACGTGATATACATACATAAGAATATACATATTTTGATGGTGTTTACAGGAACAATCTAAGAAGTTGGCGAGGAGCGAGAGGACTGCAGTTCACATATCGAATGCAGCGAATGTGATTCTTTTCACTGCAAAGATTTACGCTTCGATTGAAAGCAAGTCTTTGGCTGTTATAGCATCCACCCTGGACTCTCTCTTAGATCTCTTATCCGGCTTCATTCTATGGTTCACATCAAATGCCATGAGAAAGCCCAACCAGTATAGGTACCCCATAGGAAAGAAGAGGATGCAACCGGTGGTGAGCCTCTCTCTCTCTCTTTCGCTCTCTCTCTCTCCACAATGGAAACTGAAGGACTGTAATTGAACAGGGTATTGTGGTTTTTGCTTCAATTATGGCTACCCTTGGCTTCCAAATCTTAGTCGAGTCTATTCGACAACTCCTTACAAAGGTTAGTAGTGCTTTTTGTCAGAGCTTAGATGTAAAAATAATCTCAAAATTCACGTGAACCATTCAGAGAGAATTTAGATAAGGAAACAGCAGAATTAATTAGCTCATGCAGCACTGTGCTGGATTTTTGTTCCGTAGATATTTATTTGTTGCCTTATAAATTATACAATTTTGTTAAATAGAGCAACTACTTGATTTTTTTTGCTTGGCATTTGAAATTCGTAAGTGCTTTAGTGATAAAATATCAATCTTACCGTAGGGCAAATCCTAGTTCATTCATTTTCACTTTTTGATTAGAAGAAACAAGGTAAAAAAATATTTTTCTATGGAATTCTAGACAGATTCAACATTATGGTTTATCTTCAGAAAATCTCTGAACCTACAAGTCACTAAAAATTGAAATTTATGTAAAGAAAAAATACAATAAAAAAAAAATTTATTTAATTGTTGACAGGCTTTTGTTTTTCTATTAATTTTATGGGATTTAGTCCTGTAGTAGAATTTGGTGTAAATTAATCAAGACTGTCCCACCCCTTGGATCCTTTCCTTTCTCAATCGAGACAGCGGGGTGCTTTAATGGGGACACCAAATGACATGTGTAAGCCCCTGATCACCACCGTCTATGGCCAACCGTGGATGGTGGAGACGATCAGTTACTCCACCTGAGATGTAATTGCTGTTTCTAGTCATCTCCATTCTTCACGTTGGGCCAACAAGGATAAAGATCGGGTTCCTACACATTTTCATGTAGGATCAGGTCTCTCAGGATCATTTCCCATCTTTAATATGGCACTTGTTATCGAAATATCTGAATTATTCTAAAAATGATAGATGGTTGCAGGGGCACACATCGTTTAATGGGAAAACAGAGCAGTGGGTTATTGGGATAATGGTTTCAGTGACTGGGGTGAAGCTGGCACTAACAATCTATTGTCGGAGGTTTAAGAATGAGATTGTCAGCGCCTATGCCAAAGATCACTTTTTTGATGTCCTCACCAACTCAGTTGGCCTAATCACTGCTGTTCTTGCCTCCCACTTCTTTTGGTGGATTGATCCTACCGGAGCTATACTGGTCAACATCTATATCTCACTCTGCAACTTTAGTTGAATAACCTTTCATTTCTTGACTAGAAAAAACATTACAACTGTTTTATATGCCTATCCAATATCAATTAATGTCATTAAAAGCATGCTCTGGGAGTGTACCATACATTTGCTCCCTTGGGTGAAACAATTTCTTAGGTGGATTATTTCCAACTGAAATTTTGGGATCCAAGAATCATCAAATGATTACTTTCAAAAGAAAAGAATAACCTTATAACACTATTTTTTTCCATGCACATATAGAGTGCATTTGATTTCTTTTTTATTTTTTATAGGATGATTGCTTGATTGAAGAGATACATCAGCAAGATTTGGGGTCCTAAAACTACTCCTACATATAGTTTTAGCCAATGCAGTGAAGGCAAGAAATGCTCCTCTAGAGCATACAATGTTTTCACTGAAAATAATTTTACCATATAATTTAAAAATGTATGTCCTTTGACCTTGTATTATTGTTATGTTTTCATAACCTTTTTTATGAGGATTTTCACAAGTTAAATATTTTTATAGATTGGTATTAAAAGTTACATGATCTGATTTAACTTTAAATTCATTATTTTCTAAAAAACATCCAAAAAGCCAAGAGAAAACCTCAACATGTTAAGAAAATATCTTATTCAGTGAAAATCCCTAGGGTTTTTTTTTTTTTGCAAAGTTTTGAAGAAATTGAGATCTTTCTTGCAAACAAATATCTTTTTCCCATGGTTGACAAGTGATCCATTTCAATACAGATAGCCCTCTACACGATTGGGACATGGGCAAAAACTGTGCTCGAGAATGTTTCGGGGCTTGTTGGAAAATCAGCACCACCTGAATATTTGCAAAAGCTAACCTATCTTATATGGAATCACGATGAAGAAATCAAGCATATAGACACTGTGCGTGCCTACACGTTTGGATCCCATTACTTTGTGGAGATTGACATAGTGCTACCAGGAGATATGCTCCTAAACCAAGCGCATAACATTGGAGAAACTCTACAGGAGAAGCTTGAACAACTAGCAGAAGTTGAGCGTGCTTTCGTGCATGTTGATTTTGAGTTTAGTCACATACCAGAGCACAATAGAAAGGGTTGACTTTGTATTAATTAAGCTTGGGTTTGGGTTTCCTTCTTTTTTCAATATGAAAGCCTATTTAATAAGGAAAGCTCCATAGAAAGATTATTTTGCCCATTGCTATGTGTAGTTTCAATTTCATATTTCCAGAATATCAGCAAACAAAACAAGCATATGATTCTAGGAAACTCTATCACTTTTATCTAGTTGCTTCTCAATTTGAAAGAATGACAAACATATAACAAAATAATAAGCAATTTTAAATAATATTAGATAACGCATTGAATCCATACTCCCCAAAATGAAATTTCTAGTGCATGAAGGGGTAAGGACGGGTTTCTGCAAGTTCATGGATCTTAAGTTATTCATAAGGTTTGTCTTATTAAGCTTGCTTGGAAATTAATCGGATGTGTTTCTTTCTGCTAGAAATTGATGCATACCATGTCTCATGCAGCAGGATTTTAAAGCAAGAAATTAAAATTTTCAAATCCATACTTCCGCAGATTCAAAGAATGAGACAAGTTTTGCGATGGCAGGTAACTTTCTTATTATTTCTAATTTCCTCTCAAATTAAAACAATGGAGAAAAGTGTAACTCGACAATAAACAATGAAATATTATTTGATAACACATTAAGCAATTATAAACTGAGTCGCCAAATGTATTTGTAATGCATCTGCCACATGAAATAAACTGACATTATTGCCATTAGATCGGTCATCATCCAAATTGCATAAGTCCAATAAAACTCAGAGATGCATTGCAAAAGCCATCAAATTAATTTCCTACTAATAGGTATCATTTGGTGCTTCCAATCCTTCTTTGGCAATATTGATCCCCCAATCCACCAAAAACAAAAACATCTGCACTCATGGATGAGATATTAAAATTATCCAAAAAAGAGAAGAAAGGAAATGCTATGTTCATAGTTATGACATAGATGGAGGATAGTTTCGGTAACATATACAATTACAAGTACCTGATTTTCCTCCAGTTGTTTGGCACCACCCCAGCCATCAGATGTAAGTACAGAGAGCTTTAATGATGTCAAACAACAGAGAGCTTTAATGATGTCAAACAACTTCAGGAAACTCAATTATCACATACACTACTCACCCTACAAAGCCACCATAATATGTAACAATGTCACCTCTATCGTTGATGAAAAAGGCATTTTAGTCAAAGAAGGATGCCACTCTTTTTTGGAAGACGCCCTATTTATTCATGAAAGTATGGTAGCAAATTAGAACATCATCTAGGGAATGGAATTGAGCTTTCATTCGGATTATTATGTCAGTGACAACTTGAGGTATTTTTCCAAGTTATAATGCTTTTTTGGGCAAGTGCTTAAGTTATAATGCTTTGGGAGAATAATTAACTTAAAAATGAACAATGGGACCGTTATTTTTGTTGTTGTTGTTTTTTTTTTTTTTCCTTTTTTACCAAGATTTTTGTAGTGCCATATATAACTCTATTTAGAAGAAAGCCAACTTTAACTCCCAAGACCACCTTATCAAAATTATGCATTTCTCAAACTAAGTTATATGACAAACCATATACCTACTCCAATGTCACATTACCGCCCAAATAATCTCAATAATTCGCAAACCAAACACAGAAAAACCCCCGCACACCCCACTCCCCCGCCCGCCATCCACCCGGCCCACACACACACACACACATATCCATCCTCTTAGGGAACATCCCAACGAGCCCAAAGTTCATTTGGCTTGATGAAAATCATCAGTTGGAACTTCCTTTTGTTTTTTTGTTTTTTTTTATGTTTTTTTGGTTTTTTTGTTTTATAATTGGATCACTAGAGGATTTCAAAATCATGAATACTAGAAGCTTATTTGAGAACATAAACCCATCTACTCATCCTCTTAAAACCAAAAAAACATAATAAATAATATATTTTGGAGTCTACAACAATAATAGAAGTCCTTTCTACAATCTCATTTAATTAAAGAAACCATACCACCAGTAATTATCCCTTCACAACATTTTGTTGAGATTGAAGTAAACACCACTATTTCCATCTAAATTCTAAAAGTAATCATTTAGTCTGCATTTGCACATCTATAATGTTGGATAAAATTCCTAGCCAGGTCACAATTTGAGAGTTTTCAGTTTATTCAAGTGAACAAGAAACGCCATAATAATAGTAATAAAGTAACACCAACTACAATACAAGAACATCATACGTCACCATACCAAAACTCATCATATCCTGAATATACAATTAATTCATTGATTAATTAGTGTTACAAATATGATACAATTGAAATTCGAGAAAACAAAAGAGAGAGAAGGCACTAATCAATTCTCAGCAATGCATACAGTTCCTATACACAATGTACAGTATGTTGTGCAATACGAGTGATCTTTCGGAAATAATCTCCTAGTCATCTAGCACAATAATAGTTAGTAGTCAGAACTGGAAAGAAGTCGCAAGCCCCTGCTTTAGGCTCGAGTTCTTCTTTGACTCAAATGCCTCAGGCAGGAGAGCCTCAAAACATCCTAGAAATGCAACCCACTCCTCCTCACTAAGACTAGCAAAAGAGATACAATTAGTGGCTGAAGTCTCCACCTCAGGTATCATTACCCCATATAATGAGAGACCCCACCTTCTTAATTCCTTCTTCTTCATGCCTACTTGAATAGGAAGCCTCTGGTTCCTATCTTTGAAGGTGCCCCCTTGAGGAGATAATGATAAACTAGGTGACTTGCTGGGAATCTTTATTGAATCTTCCTCCTCTTCTTCATCCCCCTCATGCAAAGATGGCAAAGCATCCCATGTTACCCCTCCATGGCAACTAAGAAACATAGATTGAATAGGAGAACGAACCACAAGGCATGGAAGCCCTCCATTCCTGCTCTCTTTTGGGGGACCCAAGATAGGTTCTGATTCCAATTCCATTTCAAATTGAAAGTGGTCAGTCAAATCATAATCTCCCTTCTCTAACTCAGCACTATGCTTAATCTCCTCCAAGACCTCACCCTCAAGGTCAGCCTTTGCTTGAATACATAATATCTCCAATTGGCTTAGGCTCTCTTCTTCCATGCCACAAAATTCTCTAGTCATCATCTCCCCTATATGAGATAAGCACAATCCAGAGGCAGCAGCCCCCTTTAAAAAGATGGTGCAAAGGACTAATATCCTTAGAGAGGCCTCCCTCAACATGGGCAGTTCAGTTCTTAGCATATCAGCATCTTTGAATGGGTCCAATTTTCTTATGTACTCAAGCTCCTCATCAGCAAAAGGGACAGAAGCCTGTGCCCAATGGAGCCACTCAAAATAAGGATCCTCAAGAGCCTGTGGCAAACAGAGACCGTGATCTATAGGTACAAGCCCATAACCCTCACCAACGTCTATGCACCTGTTATAACTGGAATCAAGGGCAATGATTTATTATGGTATTGTCCATCAGAAGACTCTCTCTCTCTCTCTCTCATACACTAACATACATCGATACCTGGGCATACACACTCATTGACATTTTAACATTTAAAGAGGTATTAAGTACATGTTTGTGAGGAGTATTTTCCATTATTAGACTTATTTTTTCCAAAAAAAAATGGTGATTGGTCATTTGGTAGGAGCACAACCAAAAAAGAAACAATGAAGTTTTATGATGATGAAATAAAAATTTACAAGCAAGGACAAGTGCATGCTGACACTAAAAGATGTCCTCATCTCATAGTAAAATTCACATGTGTCCCTTCCAAATATCAAACTACACCATTAAAGAGAAAATCTGCTAAAAAAATAAAAATATTTCTTACAAATTGGCAGTGAGGACCCCCTTGCTAACCTTAACTTTAAACTCATTTGCTTAGGTGGATGTTAAGGATTGAGAATCATTTGCGTGCATGTTGTTGGTTCAATAGGCTCAAATCAACAAGACCACCCCATTAGGCATCCCTAATCAATGCAACTCATAAACAATCTCCATATGTAATTATGTACAACTAAATGAAAAACTTTAGGATAAAAATTGCAATACCTGTTTAAGCTGGATCTGTGTGTCTTCACCAGTACATTACCGGAGTGGCGATCTGCGTTGAGTATTCTTACATCAAGGATACCAATCCTATGGACAGCCGAGACAGAGAATTTTGAGGACCCAAGGTCGCTTGCGTTGTACTCATGGGCCACAAATTGCTGGAACGAGGCAATCTTGCTTATTGTCCTTGGTTTCCTGTCCCTAACATGGAACACAGGGTGAGTAATCTTTATAAGAATGGTGGGTGGAACCTTGGCAAAGGAGTCATGGTCTAGGAGATAGGCAGCCACCTCCCGCACCCCCGTCTCACCGACTGGAATGGATTGATGCAACCCGGGCTGTCCAAGAGTTCTACCCACAAGACCTTTTGGGTTGTTCGGTGCGAAGGGCTCCTCATCGGTGGGTTTCACAATGGCTATACTCTCATCCTCCAAGTTTCTCATGTAGTAGGCACCCCCTAAACCTCCTTGTACTGGCACAGGGTCCACCCCTGACTCCATCGCTTTGACAGCTTCTCTTATGAGCTTCTTTATGTGAGGCCCACAATGCAAGCCCCCAATAATCTCCAAAGGAGGGCTAAGATCCATGACATCATTGTAGGTTGATGAGGAAGAGAAACAAGGTGTGGAGGAACTTCTGTGCATGTGGGAGTGGGTTAAGCGAAGTGGAGAATCGTTCTTGACGACACTGAGGCCATTGCTCAAGCTTATGACACCAAAAGTAATAGAGGACTCTTCAATGGGCACATTGAGCGCCATTTGCATCTTTGTCTTAACGTTTTGTGCATTGTCAGTCCTGTCTAGCTCAATGCCAAGCACACTACCTGCATCGGTTTGAACAAAGACTTGTCGCCTACATTTTTCAGTTCGGGCCAAGTTCTTGAACCTGTGGAATTCTCTACTCCCAACGACCCTTTCTTTAATCACTAAAGCCATCGGAGACACATCTCTAAAGTTGGGTTCAACTGGCGTACAAAAAATGGGTGTTCTTGTTCCGATTATGGTCACCAATCCTTATGGGGTGGGAGAAAGGAAGACAGTGGGGGGAGCAAAATGTGATCCTCCTCCTCCCATGACACTATTAGTGTATCGAGGGTATTAGCTTGTGAATCTGCATCATGAGGATTCTTCCCACCTCGATCCATTTTGTACGTGGTAACCCTGAAAGGAGAAACAAGAACCAGGATTCATGGCAAAGCCATTGAAGGAACAAAATGAGTTTACAAGTTTTGACTACCGACTTTGCATAGAAAAGTGTGGTTGATAAAGAAATTGATTTTGGAAGTACTCACTGAAAGCATTTTGTAGATTGTCAATTCTTAAATCAAACTTCCAATTGCTGTATGCATGATTCAATTCAAATATGGGACAGCAAACATGTTTCAGAACGAACTTAGCCAAAAGCTAAGCTCAAAATGGTGTGTCCTATTTGAACTTAATTTAATGCATAGATATAAGAAATTCCAACCAAGTTTTTGAATCCACTAAATATTTTCAAATAGATAGAATATTTAAATCAACGAAGCAAGAAGATATTCTACTCCCCCGGGAGTAGAATGTCCATTTACTCTCTTGGGTATAACCCCACTTAAAATTTAGTTTGCCTATGGGATGTTAGCATGAACCCATTGATTAACCTCAGTTAAAAAAAAAATCATAATTACACCCTTACCCTCTATGCACTTGAAAAAAAATAATGAATAGAAAGCATCCATTTTTAGATGGTGAGATCTCAGGGTTAAAAAACTCAAATTTCAATTATCCTTTCGAGAATAATTATAAAGTAATTCTCTTAAGTGGCTTCCAAAATTTTATATTTAAAAAATCCTCCCAAGTAGGTCCATCGCCCGAGGGAGCAGAAGCAAATTATGCTCCTGAGGGAGCATAGTATGCATTTCATAAATGAATAAAATGTCAAGATCTTGAATTACAATCAATGCAATGAATTTTAACGGAAAATCTTTAAATGGGGTCTTAAGACTGAAATGGCTAAATTTCTGCACAAAACTTGGTTTTGCTAGAATTTGGGGCATTTATCACTTCTGATTTTACAGAAATCTACAAAATTTTCTCCTCACTGGCCACCCAATTAATTTCTCTGTCTGAGTAAAGAGAAATTAATGAACATGTTGAGAAGGCGATGGAATCTGAAATTCATGGTTTTGGAGGATCAATACCCATATACTTTCACAAATCCATACCAAAATCTATAAATCTTTTGTAACTAAAAACATCAAGTTTATTTTCCAATTATGAATGCTCATGTGGATATGTACAAATGTGAAATGAAATAGCACAAAATTTACCTCCATTTTTCTTTAACTTTCACATCGATCCGAGGGATCACATTTCCAGTTTCCGACTACCAAACAACCAACCTGGTTTTACCGCCAAGAGGGACCAACTCCATTAAAATTCCATTCTGCCTTGTTGCTTTGGCCCTCTTACCCTTAGTATTACTCAGGCAAACAACAACTTAGAGCAATTGTCTTCTCCTGCTGGTTCATCCCCTTGCATGGTCCGGCAAGAGGTCCCCACCCTCTCAATTGACGGAAAACCGGAACAACCTCTCTCTATCTATTTGATCCTCCAAGTCCCACCTCCCTCTGTGTCTAGTGTCTACCTTTTAAGTGATGTTTTGAACCAACCGTTTCCATTTTTAGTGAACATTTCTTTTATTGTTGTCTATTTTTAGTGGCACTGATCAACGGTTCCAATACTTTTAGGACACTAACTATATTTTGGAGACCCAACTTATATCAAACTCCTTGGGTTTCTCCTATTCTATAGATCCCCGTTATTTTCCGGTGTGGGGTCCCTCAACTTTGTTGAGGTCCCAAACCAATTTTAGGAACATTTCTCTATTCTTCGGGGTCTGGCTTCTTTTAAGGTACACTCACTAATTTTAGGAACATTTCCCTATTACATTTTTTAATTGCTTTCTCTATGTGCATGAATAAAGGTGAAATTCCTCCCTTTACATAGACCTTGTATCTTATTCATTAGGGATGCTAAGGACCATGGAACATACTCCTTTGTTGAGTTCCCTTTCAATAATAATATCTTCTTCAATAGTCTCAGTCCTTGTAAGCTTTGTGTAATTAGCTATGGCATTCCCCAAAGGGCTGGAATATGTGACTTTGATAGCAACCATGTCCTCAAAGTTCAGCTCAATGGTACCCTCTAGTGTTGGCCTCCACTAAATGTGTACTCTACACTCTACACTCTTGTGGGTTCATATTGTATATTTACTCCCTCGAGTAGAAGATTTACTTGGGAAGATTTTTTTTTTAATCCAAAAATTGGGGACAATATACTCCCTCAGGAGTTCAGTCTTGAGGTAAAAAAAAAAAAAAAAAATTGAATTTTGGGTTTTTTGAAACGGACGATTTCTATTCAATATTGAGGCCTTATTTTATTTAAGAGCGCAGAGAATGTGATCTGGAATTTATTTATTTATTTTTAATTGAGTTTGACATGTGGGATGAAAAGGTTACATCCCCAAATTTTAATGTCCTAAGAATACATGTCGGTTGCAATTTACCTTAGGGAGTAACGGGACAATATACTCCCTCAAGAGTATGAAATCTATTGGCTTTTTAATTCGGAAAAGTGTATGTAAGGTGCGAATATGGAGAAGTAAGATGCACGTTAAAAAACCATTGGAGAGATGTTCCGATGTTGAAAAATCTCAAATTCATCATCTCGAACTTAAGAATCATGGTTGCGAAAAAAATGGGATTTTAAATCTTGAAAATAGTTCATCTTCTAACCCATTATCCAAATCATCTATTTTCAGGACTTTCAAATATTTATAGATCTTCTCAATTGTCAATATTTTTGGAACTTTAAATTTCATAATTAAGATGACAATAGATTTTTCATGCTATCGCAAAGCATTTTCTGCACCAAAACTGCCTCTTTCGGCATAGCTATAAGGCGCGCCTTACTAGATTGACGCCTCATATAAGCCCCACCCTTTCAATTTAGCTAATTCTTCCAGCATGTTTAATATATCGTTATGAGTTATACTTCCCCAAAGTTCTTTTTCCTAGTTTTACTTTTAACTACTTTTCTTTTTTTTGACAAAGGTTACGTTATTTTATTGATAATCATATAAAATTACAATAAAATAAAAAAGGCAAAGAATCTCACACCGAAAAATCAGTCAAAGTAACCCCATGTTTCATCAAACTATCCGCCACATTGTTGGCTTCTCTATAGAAATGCGAAAAAGATACTTCCAGATATGGGCAACACTCCACCACCTGCATCCAAATCCATCTAAGTTTCCAAGGAGATTGGAACGCCTTATTACACCAATTTATAGCCAAAATTCTTAGACCATACAAAAATGATAGCAGCTCCTCATGACTGGCAGTAGAAATACCACATGAACCAGCATAACAACAAATGGTACCTCCTTCATAATCACTAAAAACACCACCATAGCTTGCCAGATTTGGATTCCCTAGTGCACGTCGATCGAAATTGAGTTTCGTATCCATTCTTTGAGGTTACCCACCAAGAACAGTCCCATCAAATGTCTGGCGATCCCTTCCTTCCACACCTCATATGGTAATTCGCATTTCATAATCTTCTATAAGACTTCCTAATTTTAGGTAGTATTGGAAGATTTAATCAGTTGAAGATCTATTTGACATGTCCAAGTAGAGTGATTTATATACCAATTTCTTGTAATCCCCACATTTGTAACTTCTCAGTAAAATGCATTTATTTATTATTAGGGATCGTCTACAAAGAGACCATTTATCTTTTGTATATGGAGGTTACAATCATTCTTGTCCCTTGAATTTCAAAATAGATAGTTGTAAGAGTGTCATTTAATAGACACAAAGTTCAAAAAATAAATTCTTGAACTTCATGACTCACCTCAAGCCATCCAATTTGACATTTAAGGAGTGGAAAAAATTATGACCTCCATATACAAAAAATAAATGGTTTTTTTATAGATAATCCCTTATTATTATAGTCTCCCACATTAGTAGGGCAGACAAACCGTCCAAAAACTAGTCTAGATCAGCATACCAATGATCTGGTTTGGTGGATTGGCTGGCATGGGCTAATCCATCCGTAAAAAAAATTCAAAAAAATTGTTAAAATTTATTTAAAATCTTTTTCTTAAAAATAAGGCACATTGTACTGTGATTTTTCATTATTTTGCCAAAAATACATTAGTACTAAGAACATGTTTTGTGTCTAAATATTTGTTTTTCATTACATCCATTTCACAGTCAACAATTGATATTTCTCTTTATTAATGCAAGCTTTTCAAGCAAATTGAACATGCGATTATTTTATTTTATTTTGTTGAGATTGTCTATAGGCTGAAGAGGTTATATCCCCAAATTTAGTGCCCTAAAACTACTTCTAGCTTAGCTTTTATACATGAGACCGAATTAACAATATGCCTCCAAGAGCATAAAATCATTTAACCCTTTTTAATGTACAATCTCTCTCTTTCTCAATAATTGCATACAAACATCTCTCAAGGGGAAGAAAAGGTAACACTCAAAGGGTTCATTAAGAAACCTCTCTTTTTTTGGAATTATCTATAAAGAGACCATTTATCTTTTATACAAGAGTGTCACAATTATTCCCACATATTAAATGCCAAATTGGATGGTTCGGGGTGAGCCACAAAGTTTGAGAACCTCTTTGTACAAAAGATAAATGGTCTCTTTGTAGACAACACCTATTTTATCTCTTTGAAAGTAAACATCTTTGTATAAGAGAAAGGGTGACATGACGAAGAATAAGATCAATACAACTATTGATGACAAGTGGGAAACTAATGGAAACAAACGTATTGGCTATTCTATATATGCCCCTTAAAAGTCTCATAAAATAGAGAAATTTTTTTTTGCATATTCCTTCTTCAAATGTAAGAGCCATCCCCATCATTAAATGCGACAGGGCTCCATAGAGTATGGCATTGGGACGGGATGTTTTACATCTTAGAAAACCCCAGCTCTTATTAATTTCACATCAAGGAGAAAGTTTATGGGGAGGCAATGCCTCTACATATCGGTCATGGGTGGTAAGTAGGCAGTCCATGCGCATTCGGGCTTGTGGCATCCCCATTGCATAGAGGGTGTGGGCCACTTCTTGGTCGATAAAAAATATTCAAATAAAAAATTAGAAAGACATAAAGTATAAAAATAGTACAAATTGGGCCACCCAGCCAGGCCGAATTGTCCAGTTCCTTATCTGACAATCGAATGGCTTAGTTTTGTTGGAACCACTGGGTTCCTAACACCATAATTTTGTTGGAACCACCTGGTTTTTTATACCATCAAGGAACCGGTCCCTGACAATTCCCATGTTATATCAAGAGATGTCATTCAGAAACAACAATTTTTTAAACATTATTCTAAGCATGTCAATTGTTAGGGGTTTACCTAGGCTTAGTATCCAAATAAATGCCTGAACTTTCTTTGGAATAGGTAACTTCAATACCTCGACAATACTTGGCTAAGAGGCCCTTTGCCTATCATTGAATACTAAGTTATACAATGTGGCTATTTCTCAAATATTTCATCTTCTTTGTTAGGGCATATTGCTGGGTTTATGTGGCCTTTAAATGCCTTATGATTGTAAACTGAAATGATATGGTGCAACATGAACTTAGTGGGTGTGTGGTCCCTCATGGACCATACCATGCAAATGGTATTTGCAGATACCGGACTGTGCTTGACGATCTAGGTTAGTCGATTGGGAAAAACCCATGTTACATGGGCAGCATGAAGAACAAATCGAGGAGGGTTCATGGGTTAGCCCTTGATGAGATCGGAGAACATGCCTGGATGAGTGAGCCGAGGGACTGTGTGACCCTTGTGTGTGATGGTAGCGTACAAAGACGGGGTCTAAAACCTCATCTATGTGTCATCACATGGTATCCATATCGATAGATAGTTCGGGAAAGCCAGAAATCCATCTTTTAGGGTGAAGCGTATGCATGTACGAAAGACCCCACTATGTGTCATAGAATTGTAGTCGCATCGGCCAAACTTTGGTGACCCACTAATGAGCCCCTGCTTAGACTGTGGGTCATGGGAAATACTGGGTCGGTCTGATAAAGCAAGTGGGTCCGTAGTCCACAGTTAAAGGTGGAGTGCCCCATAATTATTGATTCAATTCCTAAACCATATGGATCCATTTCCCATCAAATTAATTTAATTGTATTTTTTTTATGATAATGATTATTTTATAATGATTATTTGAATTTTTATGAACCTTTGGATACTTTATTTATTTTTTTTAGATTTATAAAATTAAATATATTGATTTTACAATGTTTTAATATTCACTAGAAATTATTTTATTAATTTTAAATGCATAAAGATCATGGGGGGGCATTGTGCACGTAGACCCACCATGTTTCTAGAAGGTGGGGCCCATATGTGCCTCTCATGGGTGGCACACCCTACCTCATACTACTTCTATTTTATGAAAAGTTTTGTTTTGTGGTCTATGTGACCTTATGTTTTGGTAACTTTAAAGTATGACATGTGGTCAAATTATGGATTGAGTATGTATGGACCATATATTTACTTAATATGGAA